GATAATATACTAGTGTTTATTAGCTGGATAATCTTTATATGTTTTTTAAAGTTCCATTCTTGATCATGACTGTTCTGACACAACTGGCATCAGAATATTGCAGTTGATTCATTTCAATAGTTATAAATAAAGTATTTTCTTGACAGTATATTCAGTTTGATTTTGTAAAATTATTTGTTCGATATAATGTGGATTGCTTAATATCATTTTGAATTGAAGTTCTACTACTTCTGAAAGAATGGAAGGACTGTATTCTACCTATAAACTAAGGTATATTAAATATTATACATATTCCAATACATTAATCCACATACAGATAAAAATACAAATGAAGAATGTTATTTTCACATGAAATCTCAATTTAACAGAAAAAAAAGAAAATAGTAACTGTCATTAGTTTAGACGTAATTTCATCGATTCCATGATATCAGTTCATATGAAAACAACATAACCGAATTGATAGCTGTAATGTTGTGGTGAAAAGAACTCAAGAGAGCAAAGTCAATTTGTTATTCAAGTGAAGATTACAGGGTACTTTCATAAAATATGAAAACTACACATTAAATACTTCATTTGCATATCTTCCTTCAGTTATACATTACATGCTTCAGGGTTCTTTCAGTTCTGTTGTCATTACAATCCCTCTCTGTTTTCTTTTCTGTTCTCTTCAATTTAATCTTTTCAATCTTCTGCCAGCAGGTATTCCACTCCTGATTTGTGTGACATGCTACTGATATCTATCAGCATAAGTAGAATACAACACAGTATTAACCACAGTTAAAATCTTTAAGAAGTCATATTTTTCCGTATGATATAGTCTAATAACTGCTCACCTGTAAATGTCCTCCACTATAAAAAAAGTCAGTTATCGAACGAAATTTCTACTGAATATGAAGAAACTACTTTACAGATAAACTCTGGATTTAACATATATCAAAAAATAATTAAATTTGTTATCTATCAACATTATCTATCCCTCTATAAACATGAGTTATATGGATAAATAAATATTTAGCTATAAAAAATCTAACAGTATAAAATAAGAAACCAAGTCAAGTTGGTAGATAGCTGTGAATCAAAGTATTTCTAACTTCTAAGAACTAACCAAGTTATTTAGGGTCATCAAACATTCACAAGTTTAGTAGTACTTTAAGAAAAGTTTTGAGAATAATTGGTGTTACTTATAAGTAGTCATATTCATAATATGAAATTATTCAATCTACTGTTGTTTTTTATCAAGCATGTGTTTCTCCCCAAACATTCAGTAATTTTCTATTCATATTCAGAGGGGATGAATCAAATATACGTGTGTTAATCAATGTTATAACTTGATGTATCATGAAATGCTGCGTATAAATTCGTAAATTCAAGCAGCTTTTCTGATCAATAATTTCCCAGTAACGAATATAATCTATCCGAATGGTTCAAATGGTATTGTTTACTTGAATATTCCCATTGATATTTAGGACTGCAGTTGATCAGTTTCTTATTCGCATATGTGCATCCTGCACGGATTGCCTCGATATTGCCATAAGTCACAAGCATTATAAGCAAAAATGGATAGTGGCTAATAGTGGAATACAGGATGCGCGTTACTTCGTCCTATTTGGGACTCGTCAACTGGATGTACTAGCATCTTATAATTGATGTGCAATCTGAGTCTCCAACCCAGTACTGTTCACTTGAAACGCCATTGCGTTATCTACTTGGCTACTGAACTCCTGATAACCACTTGCTTGTGAACATCAACTCTGTGATGCAGGTACATCAAGCTGACGAGTCCCAAAGAGGACGAAATTGAGCGCATCCTGTATTCCTCTGCTAGCCACTAACCATCTTTATTCATCCGAATGATTATTTTATTAAGATTGGAAAATTTTTGTTGTAGGCTTTGTTGATATTTTTTAATGTCTATCATTCACTGAATGTCTATCAGTAATCCTTGTAAAAATTATTGTTTGTTCTGGCTAAAGGCTTTGTAGAAGTAATTTCAAGGGACTTTATAGTTCTTGAAACGTTTGCTTGAAGAAAAACGACGTATTTATATGCTTGGTAGATGTTAAAAACAATAAGCTTATAATGAAAACTTTTAAAATCTCAAGTGAACAAAAAGAACTACATTAAACTGACTGGTTTTGTAAAAAAACTGCTTCTAACAAGTATCTCCTTTATAACTTAAATTGGTAATGTAATTATGATTGTTTATATATTCAATCAATATTTTAAGAACAATAACTAGGGATAATTTTCTTTATATAATTAAATAATTGCATATATCCTTATATATACTGTTACGTTGTTGTATTAATCAAGTAAATAGTTTTTTTTAAAAGAAAAAGATGATATAATTAAATCATTTATGTATTAAATTATTCAAAGTATATAATTTTCTAATTTGTATATTAAATATTCATAAATAATGCAATTACTATTTGATAGAATAAAATGTTTATTATTATATCGGTAGTTCTTTTCAAGTAGTATAATAATTTAATGTTATAACTGATAACATTAATTATTATCAGAATGGGGTTGTGTGGATATTATAGTAATTTCAATAGTTGAGATTATGAGTCGATTGAAGCTAGATCACCATGGAAAACCTGGAAGCACTGGACGGCTTTAAGAGGTATATCCTGAAGTTCTAGTGAGAAGCAGTGACCAGTGGAGTTCAACCAGGTCTGTTGTGAGATAGTAACTCACCGATGACAATGGTGGATGTGTCACTCGATTTCGTGGATTAGTTGAAGTTAGACATTAACACCGTTGGATGCCGGCCGGCTCAGTGGTCTAGTGGTTAAGTGCTTGCGCGCGTAACCACTAGGTCCTGGGTTCGAATCTCGCAGGGGGTGAGGTTGTGGATGCGCACAACTGGGGAGTCTCACAATAGGACGAAACAGCCGTCCAGTGCTTCCAGGTTTTCCATGGTGGTCTAGCTTCAACTGACTAATGAACTTAACCATTAAAATTACTAAAATTATTATTCATTTTAATGTAGACACAAAAATAAGAAAATTAATTCATAATCATTGTCAATTTTATTACAAATTAAAAATGAATCTATTACAGTTCATGTATAATATTGTATAGGTAATATAATACAAAAAAGCTACTGCACAGTAATTAATTTTCATCTTAATTTATTTAAGTGATCATTGATCTACAAAAAATCACTACTTTGTAATTATTTATATTATTTAATTATATTTCATAAGTGTTTTTATTAAACATTGTGAAATTAGCCTACTTTCTGTAAGTATTCATTTACTTTGAACTAAATTGTTATATATGATCTAAGGTTTAGTGGGTTACTCAAAGTATCGAATATGTTAGTGATATATATATATATATAATATTTATTCATAAGCATTAATCCCAAGTGATTTTCTCTAGAAAATAAATAGTAGGCTGATATTACAAAAATTGTAATTCACATTCAATGTAGCATTCATTATAAACTATAACAAAATAGTAGGCAATATAATATCAGTACATTTTTAAAAAAAGTGAAATAACAACATATGTTAATAGTAATAATAATATACATATTGTGCGCTTATTTCTAAATTTAATGTTGCTTTTTTTGTTTTTGAAAAAAATGGGAAAAAAACTTTTTAAACCATTAATGATAGTCGTCGTTTATTTTTTTTCTGTGTTTTCGTTACTAACTTTAATTCTATTGTATGTGTCTGTATATATGTAAAAGTGTGACTGTATATATGTATGTAAGTGTTTGGCTGTAAGAAGAGAGTAGAATTAAATGAAAGATATGCAATATATATTGTACTAACAATACGAGGTGATAAATTTAATGTACTTCATCTTATTATTGCTCAATTTTACTCATACTGACATAAATACATAAACATTCACATAAGGACATATATATATATATATATATATATATATATTTGTTATGTGTTGTATTATTAAGTAAAAGTTGAAACAACATACAAAATATGTTCGTCGTTCTATTAGGGATGAGAGAAAAATAATTTGGAATAGAATAACAACAAATTATCCTATTATTTTTTTTCTCATTTACTCGTTTATTTATTCGTCCTTTATCATTTAGTTGATATTTATTATTTATTTTATAGTACAAATATTGTTGTATAGTAAGTATATTTCTGGACAATTGAAATTTGGTTGGCTAAGTATAAGCGTTATCACTATTATTATTATTCATACTAATATATTTTTGTTTTTTCTGTTTTATCGTTTTTGTTATGACTATCCCTCACTCTCACTCTCTCTCACTTAAAAAAAGAAACAATACAAAAAAACGACTTGTTTGTTGCTTGTAACGGATATAATAAGAGAAATGAATATTATAATTGATAAAATGAAAATAATGTTACATAACTGTCTGAGTAACAAAAAGAAATGAGTAAATGTTACATAAGCCAATTAAATGTATATATATATATATATATAAGTACATGAGTGAATAATTAGTTGGTTAAAACTTTCAATATATTTTACCTGATAAATACCATTACTAACTTAAAGTATAAATATAATTTATACTTATCATTATATTCATTATATTAAATTCATAAGTAACTAAACCAAAATTTCATCAAAAATTTAAATGTATTCATTTTCAATTGACTTAATAAATTCTATCTTATGGAATTTTAATTATTTTACAATTGAACATTAATAAATATAAAGAAGAAAAAGAAAAACAACGAAGAATAAAAAAGGAGAAAAAAAAAGAAGAAAAAATAAACGAAGACAATCTAAATTAACATTCATATTTATACAAATAAATACAAGTTTTATTACTATTATTATTATTATTCATAATAAATATAATGTGGTTTAAATTTCAATTAGTATTATATAATTATTATAAAATGTTATCATTTATAATCATTTTACTTTATTTATTTCATTTGAATAAACAAGTAATTACATTAAGTTTTAATGAAATATTATTACGTGATTCCGAATTACTTAAAGTTTTATCAACATTAAAAGGGATACCAAAAAATATGACAAAATATGAATTATATAATATACGTAAAACTATACCAAATATCGTTGAAAATTGGATTAATTTTATGAATAATGAACAATTTTTACGTGATTATGAATATGGTAAAATATCAAAAGATGTTTATAATGATTTACAAAAATCAATAGCATTTCTTCGTATAGGTAAGTTTTACATATATATATATATATATATATATATATATATATATATATATTTCTATCATAACTTACTGTATTAACCAATTAACCTTTGTATGCAAATGTATGTACACGAGGAGAAATCTTTATAACTTTTAAATAAAGTTATTTTAATGTGTAACTAATAGGGTTTCAAATTCCAAATATATTCCCAATAAAAAAATGATCATATAAAACCATTGTTCACAGAAATACCATTATTTGTCACTACGGTTACAGAATCTACAATTATTGCATTATAATGAAGAGTATAAGGACTATATACAAATATTAGTGTGGTATATGCTAATTATGTTTTCAGATATATAAGTAATATATAACACCAGTCAAAAGTGAAATGTCTACGAGCAGAAGGTTAAGAATATTGAAATAAATAGAAAAGAAAAAGAAACTGAAAGCAATCAAGATAATGGTAGGAATAAAGGAACAGTCAAACTTCTAAGAGACAAAATATAAATTATATAATATACGTAAAACTATACCAAATATCGTTGAAAATTGGATTAATTTTATGAATAATGAACAATTTTTACGTGATTATGAATATGGTAAAATATCAAAAGATGTTTATAATGATTTACAAAAATCAATAGCATTTCTTCGTATATTCAAATTCTTGTTTTTTTCTCTTTTTTTTCTTCTTTAGTAATTATAGTATAGATATAGAGATTTTAGGGATAATATCCTCTTTTTTGTAGAAATTATGACTTCTATATTTTATAGTAGTGAAGACATGTAAAGATTAATACAACAATGGGCAACGATAATTACGTCTCATTTTAGATGCTTTATTGATTTTATACACACTATTATTGAATATATTGTGTAGAATCTGAAATAGCATCTGAGCAAACTTTTTGAGCCATCTACTTTGAGTTGTTTTCTAGACTTTTACTTGAACATGACGACCAATGTCATTATTTTTGTTAAAATATTCAATAAAATTTAATTTTGCAACTTTTATTTCTTTTATTTTTGTTTTTGTCTATGAATGATGTTTCAATGGGAAAATGATTTTTGTTTTCTTTTGGTTAATAGATAATTAAAATTAGATTTAGATTTTAGGTTTTCTATTAGAATTCAAAGGTTTATTTATTTTTAACCGTTTGCTTACAAAATTCTGTATATAACAGAAATATAATATTTGTATTCAAACATTATGTGAGCAGAAACATTTCATTTAATACATTGATTTGAAGTTAAATACCTTCATGGGAATGAAGAAGGAACGAATCGCGCAAGGATGACACCAAAAATCGTGAAGCGTTCCATATTTTTGCTCAATTCGTTGGTTCTTTATTTACCAAATGTCAACATGGGAATTTTCACTCTATTCATGGTAATGTCTTAAACTATAAAGGTGAATGATAGATATTCGAATTTTATAAGGGAGTATCAATTCATACAAGATTAGTGATGTATTAGATTGACAACTAATAACCAAGAAAAAGCTTACATTCAAAGTTTCTTATTGACTATTAAAATCACTTTATCAACTATATGTGACCATATAACTAGTTAATTTTAGGTTAAAATATTAAACGTAATGATATATAATTTTATGGAAATTTTTTAAACAGAATTTAAAGTCTACTTGAATGAGACCAGTTTCTATCTATTTATTAAACATCATTTTATTATACAGAAGAATAATGAAAAATGTATTATAAAGCTTATTTCTAGCATAAAATCTAAACAATGATAGTGATTAGCATTTGACTGAATTACAATCAAATTCAAGCTGATAAAATATAGGTTTTATTCATATTTTTTTTCAAATTACTTAAGGTTCCTTTATTCACATTGTTAAACTTCGTATCATATCTTACAAGAATCATTGAATTTCAAATGGTTTTAATTAGAAAATTTATAGAACTAACAGACTTCATGTGATCTAGGTAAAAGATCATGAATTTAATATATGTATATATATATATATATATATATATATATATATATATACCATTACAGTACTGCCCCGACGAAATTAAATACAAACGTAGGTTGTATAGAAGATTGGTAGCTCAAGTGGATGATTTCGATGGAGTTTTGTTCTCTGAGCTAGATGGTTTGGTCGTGGAGCTTTGATCGTTCTTCTGAACGATCTCAGCACTTTTCTCTGAAGTTTTAAACAATTAATTAATTTGTTAAACGACGAACTTAACTAATTTGATTGTTCATTCATACTGTATTAGAAAATGTCTTGTTAAAAATATTTATATTAACATCACCAGGCGAAGAATATTTTTAATATCAAGATATATATATGTAAAACAGTGGTGTTATTCTAATGTGAAATAAAAGTATTTACCTTCGGGTATATATAAGACTAGACTAATACTCTTCAAGTTCTTAGATTATCACTCAGAATTGGTAAAATGTCTGTTATAACTGTCAGTTCATGATATTATACTGTGGTTGATTAAATCTATCATGTTAAAAATATGGATGGTCACCTCTCTTGATACTTATTATATTGTAATAAAATAATTATCAAATAGCAATCCAAAAAAATAATACATATCATTGATAAACTTCTATATTAAATAAGTATAGAAAAAAAAAGCAAAACAAAGGTCAACAATTTGTATATCTTAGTTTTAATTCTACATATATAAAACCAGTCGCGATTTCAAAAAAGTTCTCTATCTTATTCCTAGCCGAGTTATAAGTGTATCTTACTATCTAAAGTTAAACAGTATTGTACATTATCTAAAAGCCTGGATATACTTCACAAATTGTTTATTACAATAGTTTTAAAATCATATAATTTTTATCATTTCTTATCTATTATCAAAATGGAATCAACATTTAAAAGAAAACAAAAAATACGAAAAATACAACTTATACTTTAATAGATATAATAAATGTTTTTTTCTTTTTTCTTATTTTTAAAATATTTTCCCATTTAGTTCCATGTGAAATAAATACAATAAAACAATTAAAATATTGTTTTATTTTTAATCCATCATTAATTATATTGAAACATAAAATTCATTTAGCTACATTATCAACATATATACACTCATGGATTAATCCAAATCAATTAATATTACATGTTTTTCTTATGAATAAAAAACATCAAATTAATGAACATTTTTATTATAATTTAAATAATAAAATAATAAAAAATAATATAGAATATATAAATAAAAAAACAACACATCGTCAAGTAATATGGGATATTAGTTTAATGATTAAAAATTTACAATATTCTAAATATTATTTAATTGATACAATAATAATGACATTTATTAATAAAAATGATATTATTAGTAATAATAATATCGATAATATTGATTTAAATTATATTGATTTCTCAAATCAATGGATATGGAAATCATTTAATAATTCAATGATAATTCATAATAATGATACTATTAATAATATATTATTTAACAATCAATATGATGAAATAGAACATAGTTTTAATGAAAATAATGATAATGATCTTAATTATATAAATGATTATAATCAAGATCATGATCTTAATTTTACAAATCATAATAGTAATAATAATAATAATTACGATATAAATGAAAATAATGATATAAATGAAAAATTCAATAATCAATTTGATAATATATTTATAAAAAATATAATAAAATCTAATCAAAATCATAATAATATTATTGATAGTATATTAAGTTATAATACACAAATTATTTTAGAAATGAAAACATTAAAAATTATACAATTAGAGAATCAGTATTTATTAAAAAAACGTTTGATACATCGATCATTTTTAACTGAACCAATAAAATCAATAAATCACATAATACAATCATGTCCAAGTTTTTTAGATAAAAATAAATATGAAACCAAATGTTGTTTATTTCGTTATACATTAAATAAAATGCAAATGGATCAAAATGATAAACTAAGATTTATTATATTTCCACATCATTTACCAATAAATATGTGTCATGGTAGATGTATTGGTAAGTTATTCATTATTATTATTTTAATTAATGTATAATAAGATTATAATAAATTAATTCTTATTTATTAAATGGAAAGAATCAATGTAACGACCGAACTGCCAGTATCCGGCTTGAACGCAGGACTGACGAACCGAAATGTATTCGAATAGGCCAGACTACGTTCTTCTGTATAGCGTACGCAGCGTTTTTGGGATACTCGTATTAAGTTATATTAAAACACAAGCTCTGTGCTCAATTTAAACGGTTCTAATTTAGGAAATAGAACAGATTATATCGAAAATACAAAATACCTCAAACGGTACAGTCTGTGCTATACAGTCAAAAGTCTCTCTAACGCAAAGTAGCGCGCTAAACAATAAAAGAAACAGTTAATACCAAAGGATTCGATACCTGAGAATCAATAAAAATATTCCCAATACAATGGGATCACATATCTATCCTCAGGGATTCCAGCAATCCTCCCATGCAGACAGTCAAAAGGTTAGCAGTCACACACTGAACCACCCCGTGACCTTGAGCTTAGTCAAACACGAACTTACTGTCAATAGTCCGGCAACATGCAATAGAAAATTGGGTAATGAAGGACAAGTCCTCAATCAAAATCACATAATAAAGGCTCTGACGAATAAGACTGAAGAACAAAAGGTGTGATTAAACGAGATCTGAAGAAAGGTTAAAATACACGACAGGGAGAAGAAACAAGTAAATGACAGTACTGTCCAACAAAAACGCTGCAGAGGGAATTTCATCGTTCTCTTTCCGTTACGATCAATGAGTATCAAAGATGGTTTTGATATTACAAAGATATTAAACATTTCCTAATCATGATAATGTAATAAGAAGGTGAAGGTTATCAGAATGATGAGATGATAATATATATTAGTGCAATACATTTCGAACAATCTGATCATACATAATATACTTGTTAAGAACATTTATATATATTAAAGGATAAAAGGTCAATTAGACTAGAAATGGAGGGTAAGAGGAGACAAGGATAGTAACAATAATAATAACAATAATGTAAACACAATTTGAAGCCTAATCATTTTGGATAATAAGTCAATATTACCAAGGTAAGTTTAAGGTAAGAATAAACTGTTTTTAAACAGGTTGAATTCATATGGTTTTGTTTATTTGAATTTTCCTATTAATGATCAGTTTCTTATTTGGCATATCAATGGGAAGATTGGAATCTAACAATACTAAGTGAATTTTTGGACTTCATTCCATTGCACAAACAAGTGTTTATGAAGACTCAGCAGCTAAGTGGATAACGCGATTTCGTTTAAAGAGAATGGTATTGAGTTCGAGTATCAGAATGAACATCAATTCTGAGATGTAGGTACGTCCAGTTGATGAGTTCCATATAGAACGAAGTGGCGCGCGTCCTGTATTCCGCTGCTAGTTACTATTCATCTTTGCTTATATTAAACAACTTGATTTACTAATATTAGTTATCATGATTACTATCTATCAAATCATTTGATCCAGATTCTATTTCCAATCATCAATATAAAATGATCTTATAGTGTATCTGATTTCTAATCAATAAATCATTAAATAATCATTATTTTGTAATTATATTTTCAGTTTTATAAATAAAGAAACCTATTCAATTGGTTTTAATATATTTATCTATATAAGTCTCACCGTATTATTTCCCATTATTGATTATCAATAAAAATTGATTTTTCTTTTTTTAAAAAAATGACCATGTAAGATAATATAACTGATTGGTACTTTACTATTTTTCTATTTTAGATTTATGACTGTACTTATTAGAGAATAGTGAGATATAGTAAAATATTGAATGAAATGATATGCGATTCTTCATCTATATACAAATGATATTACATTCTTAGATACATATATTTATGTCATCAGATTAAATTTAGACAGTTTGTTTTTTGTTTCTTTACATATAATGAATCGAAAACAATAGGCATTCATGAATTCTCATGAAAAATTATCTTTTAGTTAATATACAAGTGAAAGATACATTGAAGAATACAAATTATATAATGCGGACATTAAAAAAATTGGGCGAGGACTATAACTTATGGACAAACCAATCAGATTTAAGATAATAGGGCTTGGAATTTGGAGTGAAATTCATGCAGTCGTTTGACCAAATACTGTCTTGGCATTTTAGGTGATGTCAGTTCGTGCTGAAAAAACCTTAACCACCAACTGTGAATCATAATCCTTATTCTTCAAACTGTTTTATGACACTCATTTAGCCATAGTAAATCGGTAGAGACTCTCAAGGTCACTTTAGCGTCGCACAAAAGTAGTTCATAAATTATAGTCTCACAAAAAAAGATTTTATTAAATTCTTTTTACAACTGGTAGTGATTTGCACAAATTAGAATGTGGTCACCAGCCTCAGTGAATAAAAATGGTGTCAGTTTTTTTCGTTTAGTTTAGTTATTGGAACAAGTAATTTATACAATAGATTGACATTAAAAACTATCAAAAGTATATTGCTAATTTTTGCCTCCGAATGTCCTGGTACAACCGAGGGTGGGGAGAGTCCGCTCATCGTCTCGAAATGCTCTTACATGGCCATGTGCATACAACCACTACCAGGAGAGTCCTACTCACTGCTTTCTCGCGGCATCACTGTTGTTCACGAAATTCAGAGGACAAAAATCGAATGTCCGGCGCTCTAACCGGGTTACTGGACACGGAGATTCTACCTAGGAGAGTTGGGAAACCCTGATTCCAAACCAATGGTGCACATAGGCACCAGGATCCAGGGACCAATCATTGGTCACCGGCTACCATGGGACTGCATCTCCTTACGATGCTCCATTGCCTTGTAGATCAGATCTTTAGGTTGAAGACTCGGGATGTGGCCTTCTAAGAAAACCACCTGATTCGGTGTGAGTACCCGGACAGTATCCCAGCCCTCACACAAATCGAATGATTTATGTGGCGCATATGTATCTGGTGTCTCCTTGTACCAATATTTATGTGTTCAAATAAATAAATAGTTTTTCTATATTCTATGCTAAAAATATACGAATTAGTTTGTAGAAGATATAGGATTCAGATAAATATTTAGATATATTATTATTTTTTCTACTTGTCAATTACTTCCTAATGAAAAGATGACCAGTTAGAAAGACAGCAAACAGATTTAAAAAGTTAGCACATGGTAAAATTAATGGTTATCATTCATTGCTACCTTGACCTTGGTGATTCAAAATTTATAGATTTATACTATTTTTTGAATTGTAGGGGTATTTTGTAGACTAAGTATCTAGTACTCAGTGGCTGTTGGGTGTTAATTTTTTGACTGTTGATTGGAATGTTTGAAATTGTTTTATATAACTAGTAGTGGTTTTATGTGAAATCACAGATATATACCTCTCTTTATGTTCGATAGGATAACTAAATGTAACTGAAATAACATGATTACTAAGTACTTCAGATAATAATTCGAATAGAGGTTTTGTCTATTTGAGATTCAAAACATTTGCTTTCATACTTGATTTTAACATATCATTTCGAAAGTCTATACATTTTTCTAAAATGGTTATTATCCATTCTTAGAGTTTTCGAATAGCTGTTAGAAACGAAATTCAGGACTTTAGTTTAGTCCTTTTGTAAGCTCATCATCTACAAGTAACTGAATATTCAAAACCGCACTCAAATCCGCTACGTAGACTTTTCAATGGCAAAAGCGTGATCTACCGAGCTATCGCATTACAATAAACTTCAACATTTTCACTAGTTACGATACTTATTTATAGTAGCAGTAGGGGTTTTTGTTTTCTAGTTAAACTTTAGTCAACTTATGCACATAATATGTACACAAGAGTGGATGACTCGATATGACCAAAGATTATAAGTTTTATTTTATTGTAAGATTGTTGTATTCAGCAAAACTGACAACGTGTTTCACATTACTGAAAGTCAGCAGTGACAAAATACAGATTCTTATGAGTTATTATGTAAATTATTTTACTTAACTTTAAATGTTTATATGGACATTAAATGTAGCATAACGGACTATCATTTAGTGATATGATATTTGAAACCGATATGTATTTTTATTTTCATTTGGTTTACAGGACTTTACATGCCGACAGATAATGCTCATAGTATACTAATGAATCGTTATTTTTCTGGATTGGGTTCTGTGGAACGAGAAGCTATCTATAATTCAATGCCATGTTGTGCTGCCAATGAAACCATACCATTTACAATACTTTATAAAGATCATAAAGATCAACTGGTCACGGAAACTTTGCCTAAGGCTGTAAAAACAAATTGTGCATGCAGTTAAATCATATCAATACATCAATATGCACAGAAACAATAAAACACAAATTATATACATACTACTGAACATTTAGTAGTAGGCAATCAATTGTTTTGAAAATAAAACAAAGCAATATTGTTAAATTTCTAAATAATTTCTTTTTAATACTTGGCATCTTTCATACTGTTTATTTGCATATTTCAGCGGTATTGTGTAAGAACTAAGATAAGTCTATACAGCGCATTTCTTGCAGAAAGATGAAAATGAGTGATATTTTGTAATTCGTTTTAGAAAAGTAGTCATTCCCGACCACTTATTTGGTAAGACTCTAATAATGTTAATAGCTTTTTATCGCAACTCTACAACAAAATATGTATGTTATAAGAATATTACAACATCAGCTAAATAATGGTCATGAATAGTAATATTGGGAATGAACAAATGGTTATAAAAGTAACATCGACTAGTTAAAAGTCCATTATTTATATTCGCTTCTGTAGCAAGATTGTTTTCTAAAGGATGGGGTTGCTGAACCCATGTCAAACCGTCCTCGCTTACCCGGGCTCCAGATCGGCAGTAAATGTAACAAAGCTGCTGACGGAGTTCTACCGTATGGGGCTGAAACTTTCAGAACTACTACATCATGAAACAATACATGTATTTCTAAACAATTGTCTACGCAACATACTCAATGTCAGTTGTTGGTCGGATACAATCAGCAACAGCCTACTGTGGGAGTGAACAAACTAGCTTCCATCTGAGGAGGGAATTATAAAAAGACGTTGGAAGTGGATTGGGTATATATTACGGAAATTACCAAACTGCATCATGAGGCAAGCACTAAGTAGGAATCGTGAATGGAAACGAAAAAGAGGAAGGTCAAAGAACACACAACATCGGGAATTGGAAGCAGACATGAAAAGAATGAAATGGAAAAGATTGGGCAAGATAGGATTGGATGGAGAGTGCTGGCGGCTGGTCTATTCTCCTCTATGAAGGGTAACAAGCGTAAGTAAGTTTTTAACTTACACACATTAAACTGTTCAGATAATTTATCTTCATCAAGATGATGGGTATGAGTTGGAAGCTTTTTCTATAAAAAATAACAACAGTCTGTATGTTCCTCTGTTTCGAAAACAAAATCTACTTGCTATATAACTAAGAACATTAATATTATTAATCATTTTGGACCGCATGCTACAATTAACAACAAACGGAAAAATATATAATAATAGTACCTTTCAATGGATGAATTTCAATACAAATTGTAAATTCATTGTAAAATTCATTTTTAAGGATATTCGGATGGTGATTTATATAACTGAAGTTTGTAAAAGCAAATAGAAATTGTTTGTATTATCCAATGGAAAGAGTCATGATGAGACTTATACTCAATTAAACACTTGCATAACTAAGTTGGCTAAAACGTTTATTTAGTCCCAAAGCCGAACAATAACCTAGAGATAAAAGTCTTGCAAGAACATTGGACCTCCTATTCACATACTCAATGTTTAACCAACATAATACGATTGTATTACATATAAGAAGGCAAGTAACTAGTTAAGGATAAAAATGATAAGAATGATACAAAAAAAGTACAAAATTTATTGCATTAATTTAAATCGAAAAGCATATTGTTATGTTACGAAATTAATCGTAGACCGTCGTTAATTGAATAATAGACTTTCAATAAATGATGTTGTCCAAAATGATGATAAAAGCTTCATGATTGAACTAACCAGTTTAGAGAACGAAATTCTATCAACACCATTTATCTATGTCATAAGTCTTCGCTATCTTTATTATAATCTATTGATTTTTGTACTGAATACAATAAAATTCATTTATCCAATGAGGTAATCCTTGAAAGTGTATCGAAACTTATCATGCTAAATTGATTAAGTTGTTCAGAGAAATGATGTCTTTCACTGTTTAATTGTTATTTACTAAGATACATTGACTGAAATAAGTGAAAATAAGTTAGTATTACGTAGAATAATAGTGAATAATATACCAAATTTATTTGATGTTGTTTGCTTGTATGTTCCGATTGCTCTTTAGGACTGAAATTGATCATTCTCTTATAAGCGTATGTGCGTATTGCCTTAATTCACATGCATTATAAGTAAAGATGGATAGTGGCTAGCAGTGGAATACAGGACGCACGTCTCGTCCTATTTGGGACTCGTCAACTGAATGTACATGCATCCCACAGTTGACGTTCACTCTGGGATTCGAACCTAATACCGATCGCTTCAAACGCTATCGCGTTATCCACTTAGCTACTGAGTCCTTATAGCCACTTGCTTGTGCAATAGAATTCACATTCCTGTGTTCTTTCAGCTTACAAATATATCTTAAAATATATTTCATTTTTACAGTTTTTTTCACCAATAGTACTCTATTAAAATTATTGATTGTGTAAAGCCGTGGTTACTGATTTCTGAATGAGATACCAATCAACTGTCATTGTATGAAGTGGTCTGTTTAAAAAGTACGCGAACCAAGGTCACTATTTTACAAACGTTCAGAGTATATAGATTTCACTCCTTTTGAATACTTGGTATTTATGCCAATAAATTAGCCACATAACAGTTATCAATATTTCAAGTATTTTCTATCGATTTCTCAGAAGTAAGTTGAATCAGTTTACCCTCTCATTAATGTCTGGTTAGAATCATACAACCAGACTATTTACATAGTTTCAGCTCATCAGTAGTCATTCAGACAATGAATCAGTGATAAGAGGAATCTCATACGTTCATTGTTTTCATTAAAATAAGTAGATAAACTGTCATTACTTGTTATCATTGAAAAGAGATATCTTTTTTCAACAAGTTATTTCGTTAAACAATCCTAAGAATTTCATGAATCATCTCAGAGTTCTACCCATAAATTATCAAAAAACATAATGTATCAACTTATATAAGTATATTTAGCTATCATTATTCATAAAAATGAAGATTGTAGTAAGCCCATTCAACTATTGTATTATTTATCTGCTCACTGTAATTTAGACACTTGATCCACCATGTAATTTTCTATGTGAGTCTAATTGAGCACATGTCAATTTTTAATCTATTCTTCCATTGGCTGTAATACACAGACAATCATTAATTTATCCACAATCGATTAACACTCATAAATATATATGGATGTTTAGCACTCACACACACATACACACACTCTTGGCTTCTCTATGTGCTTGCATCCTGTACGCTTACGGATTTTACCAATATTTAACAATAAACTATCTCTATAACAACTCCGCCTAGAGTCCCTCCGGGGGCTACTTCCGGTCCCAAGCTCGGATAAAGGAGGAGGGTTGGGCATGGGGTTAGTGACCCCATCCCGTAGAAAACCAAATCGCTAAAAAGACGCTAATCTCTATAACTGGTGTTCAGGCTTTTTGAATAATCTCGAGTAAATCCATAATTCTATTAGGGATTTAGCCTGCATTAAATATTCAGTTAACGGGGTACTATTTATTGGAGTCAAATCATAGAGGAAATTAACCTCTACAAGATTACAATCACATTATTTATGTTAATAAGTTTCTTATATATTCTCGAGAGAAAACCTTTCTACATGTTAAAGATCAATGATTCAACCTATTTTCAACAAATCTTTTATGTTTTAAAAAGAAAATCATGGTTTGTTTCTATGATATTTCTATATATTAGATTAATTGATACTGATGTAATATAGAAAAAATAGATTCAGAATCTTTTTATATACTTTAATAGAATAAGAACACTTAATCATAAATAATAACGAGTCTTATATTGTAATATTATTAGTAAATATGACTAATTATTAGATATAAGTTGTTGTATTGCTAATGTGAAAATTGAGCTCTTTTCTACAACTGATAAAGAAAGTAATACTGCCTAAATTAGTGTCGTCATTTAGATAGAACGATGTTGTCGAAAGGCTCTCCATTTTAGTGACCCATGGATGTGACTCCAAATAGATCGTATGAATGTTTGTTATCGCCTATCCTCGTATATAATCATTGACTTTAATCGTGTTAGTCAATAACGGAATTAAATAAGTCAAATAACGAGAATGGACTTTTGAATACATGTATTTCGTATATGAAGCGAATGGAATAGAGTGAAGCGAAACAACGCGCAGTGGAGATGGCGGGTAAGCCAACTCCTATTTAACCAAATGTTAATCAATATTTATAGTTATACAAAAATAGGTTGCAGATATGTGATGAAAAATGGGATAAGAAGTGTACACATACCAACGCGTTCATATAAAAATAGTCAAGATTGATAAGCGAATAATTAACGAGGTTAGGATGTGACTCAAGTAGAATGAATAGAATGGGTTGTCCAAAGGCTAGAATAAGGTATATTGGGTTTAACATAACCGACACTACAACATATACTAAGTTTTCAATCACGTTCACTTTGAATACAATAGCATCTGATCAACTAATAGTTAACCTACTCTGGACGTTTTATAAATTATTAATTAACATTCGGAAACTAATTATATAAATATATATTGAGTGGCTATAAACATTGAGAAGGGAATTCTAGACCTAGGTTTATTACTATTTAATACTCTTCAGTAAAGGATTTATGAAGTCTCGAAGAATCTAGTTCAAAATCTATGCCGAAAGTTTTCTACTGAATATCTTTAATTGCTTAACATTAAAATATAATAAACAATATGTAAGTTCACTTAGATTAGTGATCACAATCCAACATAGTAGATAGAGTTCAATCAATATTAAAGATTATAAAAACATAACACCGATCACTTATTGCCTAGTGATCATTTTTTAAATTTATGTAATACAGATGAAAATTTTAAGCAACAACGTTATTTAAAAATGTTGTGTTGACAAAGACAATTCATGTAAATACAACTTACTTGAAAATTAGAAAACATGACCTTTCATAGCAAATGTATAATTCAAAAGATATCTGTAACAATGAATGACATATTAGTTTACATATAATTTTGAAAATTTTTTAACAAATTGTATTTATACTAAAAGCAGATTT